AAGTCTGCAAACATATCCTAAGGATTTGGTAGAACTGTTAGATTTGAGTCAAGACATTTGAGGTTTCCCCTCTACAAGCTTCTCACTGTAGCTTGCTGGAATATTGGCCCATTCCTCCTGACAGAGCCGGTGTAACCGAGTCAGGTTTGTTGACCTTTTAGTAACAAATTTGAAAAACCCCATTTGTATCCGAGACTGGCCTACATGAATAGGTGCACAATTTAACTCAAAGGTTGAAAATTAACTAACATAATCCTAATAGTAGGAAGTCGATTCATTATCTGGGCTTTTCTCAGTTGTTTTCAGGAGTAAAGGGCGTATGCAAATATTTGATTTCAATGAAAAACATGAAGAGGAAACGCGCTTTCTTCTCGACTCGATTCACTGAGCAGTGAAGCCGATCTTCTCCACGTTTGGACGATGTGAGATGATTTACAGCTGCCAACTGAATTACCTGATCCAAACCCCCAACCTTTACTTTCTCTACGGACTCGGGCCCAGACCCTGCGTTAGCTGTGTCCATTTCAGCCTTCTGGCTGCGACGAAGCGCCTCCTTTGCAGAGGTCAGCTGCTCTTGATGCCACTGCAGCTGCTTATGGAGCCGCTGGACCTCCAGCTCCACTCTCTCTCTTTTCCCTTCGGCCTCGAGCTTCAGGTGAACCGCGCCGCTCAGCTCCGCCTGCAGCTCGGCCGTCTTCTGGCGCTCAGAGGTCATCTCCTCCCTGAAAAATATGCATATGTATGCAAACCAAGTAAGCGCCAATATCACCGTCTTATCTCTCCGCTGGCTATAAAAAAAAAAAAAAAAAAAGATTACTATTTTGCAGCAGGGCTGCAGCTCCTGCCCAGACACAGCTATTTTCAATTCAAATGTTCCAGTCGCACCGTATGGTTACGAGCTGATGACGTTCGTGTTCTTGAGCTTCCTACCTCAGACTGTCATGTGAAGACTGCAGGCTGCTGAACTCGACGTGAAGGCTGTCGACCTGCTTCTGCGTCTGATCAGCCTGCAGTCTGTTTTCCATCGTTGTTGTCTGAGTCTGGTTACTGTCCTTGTGGCGCTCCAGCTGACTCTGGAGTCTGCTGTGGGCGCGCTCCATCTGGGCCACCTTGAAAGGGCCAGAAACATCAAGATGAGAAACTCTCACTCACGTAAAATATGGCGTAAAATAATCACGCTGCACACTTTGTGCGTTTGAACTTGAATGCAGCAAAGAACGGGCCAAAGGTTTTAGTTTCCTGGTGTGGAAAGCCCCAAATGACTTGCAAAATATGTATGTAGTGACTCGGGGGGGAAATTAATAGAAATGAACATTACAATTTTACACAGATCTTAATGGTAAAAAAATAAAATAAAATTGTCAAAGTAATGTAGAATATTTTTTCTCTACTTCACGATGATGCACTACTTTATGTTGGTCTATTAAATAAAAGAGTAATTTAACAGAACTTGGAAATGTCAAAGGAATATATTAAGGCTTTTAAGCAAAACTGGAGTCCTGTTTATTCCCATCTCAAACCCGGGAAGCGGACGCACCTTTTCTTCTAGAACGGCCTTCTCTCCCTTGACCTGGGTCAGGCTTTTGATGAGCGTTTTCCCCTGCTGGCATTCGGTCTGAAGACCGCTGACCTCGAGTCTCAGTTTCTTCAGCTCTCGCTCGCCTATCTGCAAAGCCTGTAGCGTCGGAGGGGTGGAAAAAAGGAAAAAAAAACAAAAAACGGAGGAATAAATACTGAGCCGATTTGCAAAAAGGCAGTTGGGAAAAGATTTGTTCATATCTGTAGGTAAAACAGAAGTTCCTATTACTAGTAACCTTAAACAGCATAGTGCACCTAAAACCAAATGCAACGTACATTTTTTTTTCTTTCTTTTTTAAACTTATGAGCTGATTTTCAGAAAGTCATGCAGCTGTTGATTGGCTGTTTGGTCTCGCAGACGGCATGTGTGAGATCTTTACCTCTTTATCTTTCTTGAGGGCAGCCTGAGCAGCAGTGAGATCCAACTCCAGCTGTTTCCTCCACTCCTTCTCCTCAGTCAGTCGGGCCTCCAGCAGGGACATCCTCTCCTGGGAGCTGTCCCTCAGGTGCTTCATGCACAGGGGAGACCAACGTGCATGTCCGATTGGTCGACATTTAGTTTCCGTAAATATTACAACAACAGTTTTTTTGTCACCGGCTTCGAGACAGTCTGCTGTGTCGCCCGCATAATAACAAAAGTGAATTCTTACGACGTGCAGGTAGGACTCGGTGGCCTTCGCCTCGTCGCCGTTTCTCGGTGCTTTCTCCTGAGCGTCATGCTTTCTCAGCTCCGCCTCCAGGTTTCTAACCTACATGGTGAAATTCAGAGGTCAGAGGGTTTTAGTGGACACATTTATTTCCCCTTCGAGCTTCCATCTACTTTAACATCACCAACTACTTTAAATGCATCGTTTCTTTCTAGGGCTCCAACTAATGATCTTTACTTGTCAATCAGTCAAACAAAATAAAAAAAGAAATGGCACGTTGTGCAGATTTTTCATTTGACCACTCGAGCATGGTTTATGCAACGATAGAAACACACTAAAAGATGAAAATCAACAAATAATTCAGTTAGTTTTTAAATAAGAAAATGAACATTTTACTGCTTAAAATGCAATAACACTATAGAATTTCTTTAGTTCATTTGGTGATGCCAAAACCACTTCAGGAACGTTGAAGAAAACACATTTACAAAATGTTTTCATCTTAGATGCAAAAAATATATATGTATATTTACTTTTTTGTACAGTTTATGACTAAAACTGTACAAGGCTCTGAATATGCAGCTTTTTCAGCAAATGGCCTTTTTTTTTTTTAGTCTGTACACGTCAGTTAACGATTAATCGATTGCTAACTTAGCTGACGACTACTTCAATAATCAATCCTTCTCAATTAATCCAACCAATCGTTTATTTCGTCCTGTTAAATATTAAATGCCGTCACAGCTCTTTTCCCCGTACCCTCCTGTGCAGCCCCTCCACCTCTCCCTCGTGGCGATGCCTCTCCTCCTTGCTGGCGTTCTGGGCCTCCCCCAGCAGGGCCTCCAGCTCCTCATTCCTCTCCTCCAGCTCCTCCTGCTCCTTGCGTAGCCTCTGGAGCTGCCGCTGCAGCTCTCTCACCTGCACAAGTCCGTCTTCCACCGCTTCCTGACACCTAGCGGGGGAACAGTGGTGACGCGGGCCTGTTTGAGCCTCGAAGAAGGAAATGTTGCTGCTTTGCAAAGCGTCGTTTTCGATGAGTTCACGTCGTTACCGTTTATGAATCGGATCCTTCTCTTGGGTCGACACAGCGGAGAGGCAGTTTTCAGATTCGGTACCTTTGTTCTCCAAGTCTTCTTTTTCTGTATTAGGTTTTGTCATCTGGACAAAACAAAAACCAAACAAAAAAATAACTTAACTACAGGAAGACTCTTTGCATTTTCATTTATAGAAAAAAAAAACACTACATATTTACCTGATCCATAAGATTTTTCTTCTCGGACTCTATGACATGTAGTCTTTCCCTGAGAGCTCTGTTCTCTGCATCCAGTCTGTCATTTTGCTCTTTGGCTCGCTGCAGCTTCATCATATCTGCAAAAAAAGATTTTTGACCTTTTTCACTGGAGGTTTTGTTTTCCCCATTTTAAAAGCCAAGCTGCAGTTCTTTAAAAGGCCACTGGGCGGGGGGTGTTGAGCTCACTGTACAACAAAATAACATGAAAACATGTCATGGTCTCACTGCAGCACAGATTAATAAAGCTTTAATACTGTTTTATATTACGGGTTACCACCCATGATTTTTGGAGTGGAATTTTTCTTGTGGATAAAAATTTCAGCACTTCTGTCTGCTAAAGTTTCAAAGCGGTCAAATAAAGTTCATTCCCGCCACGTCGTCTCACCGTTGTGTTTCATTTTGTCCACTTCCTTCCTCAGGTACTCAACTTCCTGGACCGTCCCCTCAAGCTCAGATCCTACAATTTGAAGAACATCCACATTACTCAGAAGCTTACTAAGAATGCTTTTCCGACATTATCTTCGTACGCTGCCAAAAATGTATATAAGAAATACAAATTTAAATGAAAAAATAAAAATACACACAAATGCACCTTGAAAGGTGAGAAGCAGAAAGTTGTGCAGCTTCCGGTTCAGTGTGATAATGATTCCGAGTACTAAAAATACATTCGTGATTACTGAGTGTATGTGTCTTCGACGTACCACATGGATCTTGGTTGTTGTTCTTAGCCGCGTCTAGCTCGTTGTTGAGTCTGCGGATGTCTTGGTGGGCCATGGCCAGCCTCCTGGACGCCTCCTCCAGGTCCCGCTCCAGCCGCTGCCGCTCAGTTCGCTCCCTGGAGATCTCCTCGCTCTGGGCCTGTCGCAAAACGACCAAGCTTAGGGACGGTCAGCGCGGAAGGAGAACAGCAAGAAGGTGGACTGGGTAGTTAGACCGGAGACATAGCATGCAGCTGCGAGAATCATGCACTTTCAGGCTGAGATCCGTTATCGCTGCAGACCTGCGGAGAGCAAGGGGAGGCAGTCGATTCAGCATCCTCCTGCTCAGAGGACCAAAAAGGTTTCCTTGCTATCAGTGGGTTTGTGATCAAATTAAAATACTGTTAATGTTTTTTTTTTGTTTTGTTTTGTTTTGTTTTTTTCATTTGAGAACTAGAAAGAAAGGCAAAAATGCAAAGCTGGTGCAGGGACACCCAGCGCCTTGCAAAAGCATTCATGCTGTTAAACTTTTACATATTTTGTCACATAAAAATCACAAACTACTACATATTTATTTGAATATTATGTGACAGATCAGAACAAAGTAAAACACACTTGTGAAGTAGAAGGAATATGAGGTTTTATTTATATCGTAAGTCCTACTTTATGCCAATTTGCTGCATAAAATCCCAATAAAATCTATTCAAACTTTGTATTTGTAATTAGAGTTGCACAATATACGAAATAGTAATAATCACTGTAAAAATCAATATGTGCAATGTTGCAATTACAAATTACTAATTGGTTGCAGTATTTGCTAGGCTATTCTAATTTAATTGCAATGAAGTAAAATTTTGCTTTCGACCTTAACTATTGAGGGATGGAGAACCTGAAGCTCAGAAAAAGGGCCGGGGACACGATGATGAAGATAATGCAAAAGAAAGACAGTAGTAAGGAAAATGATGCTCAGTCATAGCAAACATAACAATAATACCAAAACATCGGCTTCCAAAAATTACAGAGTCCTAGTTGTAATGTTAGACGACGTTTATAATTCATGAATACTTTTGCAAAGCGCTCTGACATGCAGCGCAGGGCAGTCCCGCAACGAGTCAGGTGTCGCGTGGACGGCGAAGTCGGTTCCTAATCTTTGGACAACCAAACCGCATCATCAGGTGGCGTGCTCCGCAGCGTTCATGCGGACAATATCAAAACGCGTCCAAACGCTCGTGCGAAACATTTGAAAAACAAATCTCTGCTAAACGCCCCAGCGTCGGCCCGCCTGTCGGCCTTCGTCGCAGCCAGCACCAGCGTTAGTCAGAAGGATTAGTACGAGCTGTGGCGTAGAAACCTACAGGGCTCATACTGTGTTTGCTCTGAGCAGACCTGCGCAGGCCAAACAGCTTCTTCCACGGACTCTGGGACGAACACTGCCGACAAAACAAAAAGCCAATGTCCACATGGTGATCGAACCGTTCTGTGCATTCGCTGAAAAACAATAAATAAATAAATGCACTACTCTTCCCTTCCAGACCTTAAGGAAGAGCTTAAGATGACCTCACCTTCGTCATGTGATCTACGGTCTTGCTCAAGTCCTCCCTCTGCTGCCTGAGACTCTCTCCCATTATTTGGATGTGCTCCTGTTAAAACGATGCACACAGATGCAAGCTGCATGTGAATGAGGTAGTTACATGTTACACTGATATATATTTATATTTTAGAATTGAGATTATGTTTCGTTGCAACAGACAAAACTCCCTGGATCAGCTCTCCGATCTATTCCTTGTTGGTGGGACCACTTCAAATACGACTTCTCTGTTGGACTCTCACCTGATGGTCGCTGTCGGTAACGGCGAGGGTATGACTTTCCAGCTTCCCCTCGGCAGCCTCCAGCCTTTCCAGCAGAGTGGCCCTCTCCACCAGCAGATAAGCCACCTGCTCACTGGGGCTGCTCAAGCCGATCTCCCCCAGGTCTTCCTGTGACAACATCTCCGCCATCTCCTTGCTCTGGATCTCTAAAAGGAAACAATGACTCCGTCGCGTCGTGCCGAGAAACGACACTCCACCGAAATAACGCTCTACAGTTGGCATAAACACGAGAAAATGTTCCACTGAGGGGAAAGAAATAAAGCTATAGATGTTTTTTGAAGTTGTTTAGGGGAACTAGGATGCGGTCGCCAGATGATTGTTTAAAATGTCCAAATATTCCAAAGAGCTAGTAAGTGATCTTTAAGTGATCTGGATAGCATCACAGGTCCTGTGAGTGTACTTAGCAGTGAGCATGAGATTCTTATCCACATAATCATCCTTTGTTGACATGCAGTGTTAGTCATCCAACTAAAGCATCCAGTTTCAGTTAAAGTTTAGCAAATGTGCACCTTTATGTTTATCCTGGCGGGACAGAAACATCTTTTTTTTTTTTTTTTTTTTCTGGAAATATCGCATTGTTCAGTGTGAGGACGGAAGTGACTGATTAAAATGTTCTAAAGGTTTCTACACATCTTTTACCAGAGGTGCCAATAAATAATGAGGATGCCGTATGAATGTAAAAACCAATAGCTAGTAACAGCTTTACTGAGAGCACCTTGTTGATGTTTGACTTGGTGAAGTTTGTGTCTCAAGTCTTCGTTGTCTCTCTCGTACTCTGCAGTCAGACACTCGCACTCTTCCAGCAGCGCCCGAATGTGAGCTACGTAGCTCTCCACCTGAGAGTCAAACAACATACAATTCTTAAACTGATTCAAGTAAAACCAGGTAACGTGACGTTTTCTACAGCTGGTAAACAAAGGCAACTCTGGACTGCCTCACCTCCTTCATTTCATTGGCCTGCTGCGTACGTAAGGTCTGCAGCTCCTTTGAGACCGACTGAAGCTTTGCCTCGGCGTCGAGCAGCTGCCGCCACAGATGCTGCTGCCGCTCCGCCGCTCCGGCCTCTGGAGGCACGCCATCGTCCTGAAGCCGCTTGGTAATCTGGTCCAGCTCCGTCAAGAACTAAAGAGAAAGGGGAGGCAAATGACTGATTTATTAACTACACAAGAGATCAAAAGCATGTATTACGACTTGCAAAACTACAATTTGCATGAAGAAACTGGCTCAGTTAGGCCGATCTTTTTGCATGCTCAGACTATGACGACGGCGACTCAAACACCTGTTCCAGAATTTGGTAACTTGAGCAGAAGCCGTGCAGAATTTTGGAATGCTAAAGGAGTTGTTACGGCTCCTACAACACGCACCACATTGTCACAGGCAAAGTATCGAGTCTCACGTGCCACCAGCTGGTCTATGTTCATCTGGAACAAATGGCTGAAAGGCTGCAAATTGAGAACGCCCTTCTAATCCTGACAAATGTTAGGCACTGGTGCAAGTTGTATGACTACAATTTTTTATTTTTCTTTCTTATATAGATGCGCTAGACAATGGGGAAGAAAATGCAGTTTAGAAAAGCTTTTAATGTGATGTTACTCTGTAGAGAGAAAGAGTTTCTATAGAAAAGCAACACTTTATGGAGAATGTATCTGTCAGAAGCAAAGTTACCTCTCCATGATCCATCAACGTTGACTTTGGTGAAGCCATTTCCTCGGCTGAGAAAATACTTATTTTAAGCTGCAGCTGTTCCTACATGGTGTCCCATTTTGTGGCAATGAAGAGCAGAACCTCAAGCTCCATCAGTCCCATTGTCGCTGTAATCCATGCGTACTAGCAGCTCTGTAAAAGATAACATTTCTCAGAACAATTTGGCTAAATCGTGACAAGAAGACCTGTAGTAACAACCTCAGGCACTGCCTACTTCAGCTGCACCGTGACAGCTGACTACACTGTATCACCTGAAGCTATGCAAAACTTCAGCCTGTTCATCTATGTATGATCTGCTTCTTTAATCATTAAGCTTTTGATATAAATAGCAACGATTACAGCTCAAGCAGCTTACAAGTGCAAGTTTAAATGGAATTTCTAGCAGGAAAATATTGTGTATCTTTTTTTGTAAAGTGATCAATAGTTTCTAAGAGAAACCTGAATTACCTCAGTTCTGAAAGATCCTTCGTTTGTTATGGCTTTCTTCTCAAAATGTCTGACACCGAAGGAGGAGCAAACTATGTTTTCAGTAGAAGGACAGTGTCTTCTGAGCTTTTTGGAAAGACTCGCCGCGTATTGAATCATAACTAAGAATCGGTTCATGTGACACTGCACGAATGAGCGGATTTTTACTCGAGAACGCCGTGGTAGTAAAGTTGCCAAAGTTATTAGGCTGCATACAAAGATCGCGCTGGCGCTAACGGTCCGGCAGCTTATTCCAGAGTCTGATTGTTGGCTACTGATTAAAGTTTAAATGTTATTACTGGGAATTTTATCCACGAAACTGACTGGTTCTGTGCTTCAGGAAGTCATACAGCACACCACAGTTTATGTTTAACTCACCTCGGGCTAGCAGTGATGAGAAAGCCCAGCGCCTTGGACAGGCATGGCGGAGTACACTAGCTTCTACTAGCACCTAGGCAACGGACCGTACCAAGATGGAGGGGAGAGTTCACCAACCACTAGACATAGGTAATACACTAAAATCAGACACACCTTGACAATGCTATTTAACCTAAGTTGTGTCTTGATATGAGCGCTGTCAAATTCAGATTTTATTTAATGTTTTTAGTAATAATTCACCTTGCTATCTCCGTAGTTCATGAATGTAAACACTAGATGGCGACAAAACAGTTCTGAAGGGCGCGGCGATGGTGGAAGGGTAAATCTCGCGACCCTTATATGGAGTTGTTGATGCGGCTGTCACAGGTTCGATTCCCCGGCCTGTTGACATTTGGCGCACGTCTTTCCCTCTTTCTCTCACGGACCGCTTTTCTGTTCGGTGAATGCGCATATGAAACTGGGGAGTTTGGTACCTCACTGCTTTAAAGATATCTAGAGAGAATCAAAGTATCTGATTCAATATTTTAAAATGACGTTATCAGATAGACAAAGATATAAAATTGTGGACATTCTGGTATTTTAAAGTCTAAAGAACTAAACTAAACTAAATAACTTTATTTGGAACAATTGAACTTGCACCTCAAACATCAAAGTTTGGAAATAAATTGGTCTTTTAATGTACAATGACACCAAGCTACTTAGACTTTGACACCGACCAAGGTTTAAAATCTATGTAAACTTCTGATTGAAAGTTTAAGCAATTATCTGAAAGATTATGTCTCTCATTATTCTGTAAAATGGAAATAGTTTACTTAACTTGCCCAAATAAGGCGAACTCTGGTCCTATGGATTGTCGAATAGTGAGGTAAAAAAAAAAGTTTTTGTTTTTCACACAATGAATGTAAATATCTGTGTTCATAAGGATGAGTAAATAGCTTTTTAATGTGTTGTTTTTAATGTTTTTGGTCTTATGACTGACCTGACTTCATTGTGCTAGGTGTATGTTCTGAACCTAAAGCACCACAGATCAACTACATCTTTGACCTCCTTTTTAGAAGTGATTGTTTACCTTTTTATGCTGAAGGCACACGACTTTACAAGACAAGAAATGTATAAATGACCAAAAAGTTCAGAAATATTTGACAAACCACAACAAGGAACTTCTAAGCACATCTATATTGCTTTTAGCTTCTTTATCCTGTTCCGGAAATTACCAGTAATTTGGAAGGCTTAATTACTGTGAGAAGTGCAAAAATGTGAGCAATGTCACAGCCATATGTTACATGTGATGAATGGAATAAGAAATGTGAAACACTCACTATGTAGGAGTGTACTTCTAGAAGACTGTTTACAGAGAGACGATAGTTTCATGTGGTTTCGCATGCCTCCACTGCTGATGGGTGGGTCTCATTTGAGAGCTTTTTGGATGATGATGCACTGACCGATGCCGGGGCAGAGCAGAAGGGAGCTCTGTTCTCCACAGAGGAAATGGGCGTTCTCCTTGGAAAATTTGGAGTGGAGAGCCTGCAAAAAGTAAATAAATAAAAGGGGTGTGGCAGAGCTGGAAGAGAGTGTTGACCACCAAAGCGGGCACAAGGTCGCTAAGTACAGGAGCTGCTCCCGAGTTGTTGAGATCTGATTGAGGAGAACGAGCAATATCCAGGGTAGGAAGATAGTTTCCTAACTTTTCAGATTTTGCCACTTAATATATCTAAGCGCTGCTTTCTAACATGATTAAGCTTAAAGACAAAACTGAAGCATTTGTTATTGACTCTTAGCTTATTATTTAAAAATGATATACTTTTTGCCCCTTCTATTAGCAACCTACTCAAGCGTTTTATGTACTGTCCTTCTTATTATTATTATTTTTTAATTCCACAAGCAAATCCATCACCAATTCCTGACTAAAAAACAACAGTCTCAGCTGTCATTTTCATATGATTGATGGGATCTGACATAACAACATCATTTTACAGTAATTTTGTCTCCACCGCCCACACAAACAGGCCGCTCCTACAGATAAAGATCTTCACAGACAATTTCATCAGGTTCTTGTTTTACTTTGTGTTCTGTTCTGTTTCCTTTTGTCTGACTGTTTGTCTCTTTGTTGTATCAGAAGTTAAAACAACCACCACTGCAGCTATTACAGCCTAAATATTGGCTGTAATAGCATGTATAAAATGTCAGAGTTAAATTTGCTAGGAAAAACGTGTTTTTTTTCTTCTGTTTTAATTCCTACTGTATACAGTGCTGTGAAGATGAGTTTACCCAGTCAAACATTAGTTCTGTCTTTGCTCTTTTGTCACACTTAGAATATCAAAACATTTTAATAGAAGACAAAGATAACCAGAATAAATAGAAAAGACAGTTTTCAAATGCCTTTTGAGTGCCTTTGAATGGCTTACACAAACGAAGGTGGTTATTGCGAAATAGTCAAAGTCTGGATTTAAATCTGAATGAGATTCTGTTGCATGACCTTAAACAGGTCATTCATGCACCAAAATCCACCACTGTGGCTGGATTGAGATCATTCTATAGAAAAGGATGGACCAGTGAATGGGAGTTGTTATGCCCAGGTTATGAGCTTATGAGCTAATTATTTTTGTCACGAGGCTAGCTTCCTTTTATTTCCTCCATTATAATTTGAAACCAGCATTTAGTGTTATGCACGGTACCTTATCCTGACACTGAAATTAATTTGATCATTTGTTTAAAACAAAAAGTAAAAATAAAAATTGGAAAGGCCTGTAAGAGGGCAAATATATGTAAATATACATATGTATTTACAACTCTTTACAGTCTTATTGTGAGTTTGACTGGGGTTCCTTATCCAAAATAATAAAAATATGGTTTCCTTCTCCTTCAGACAGGGTTTTAAAGATGGCCTGCTTGCTCATTTTTGTTACCACGCTGCATCTCGTCACACTAGCAATGCTATTCATTGCAACCATGGAAAAGGTGATACTCATGTTTATGAGAACATTATTTTTTAAGGACATATCTAACCATATGCATTGTGTTTTATTTAATTTAAAAGTCCTGGTGGGTGTGGGATTCCACAGAAACATCAGACCTTTGGTACAACTGTAAGTTGGACAACTCCACGGGAACTCAGCTGTGTGCAACCATCAAAGAAACAGGTAGGCCTTTAAAAAAAGGATTTTATCTGATTCAAAACATTTAAGAGGTAAAAACCAGAGTCATTAGCGTTTAAAATATATATTTTTTCTTCCTCTTTAGAATGGCTTCAGGCTGTACAGGTCCTCATGGTCATCTCAGTCGTCTTTTCCTCAGTCTCCTTCTTGGTGTTCTTAGGCCAGCTGTTCACTATGTCGAAGGGCGGACTCTTCTACTTCACAGGACTGTGTCAAGTCTTTGCAGGTAAACCTTAGATGATCTGGGAGACATGTGAAATTGCATCTTATTCCAGATAAAGTTTAACAAACCAATTTGTAAAACATTATAAATATGGAATTTTGTACAACTACTATTGAAGACATGAGTTTAGTAATGGTAGAACAGATCGGCACAGAATTTGTGGACTTCTGCTAGGTGTTAATTTATGCACCTCAGGTGTTTTTTGTGTTTTAAGGAACCTCCTAGTATAAGCTTTTGTTCCTAAAAATTGTTTTGTCTGTCTGTTTGTTTGTTTCAAGGTCTGACAGTCTTTTCTGCTGCACTAATCTACACTCTTCACAATACGGAAATCCTGCTGGACTCAAAAAATCTGACTTCAGGGAACTTTGGCTACTGCTTTATCTTGGCGTGGGTGTGTGTCCCTTTGTTGTTGTGTAGTGGGATTATGTATATCCACCTGCGTAAGAAAGAATGATCAGACAAAGAAAATCTAAGTCAGCAGCTTTAAGGTTCATAAAAGTGACTGAATTTAGAGAATGCTACTTTTGAAAAAGCAAAATGTGTAACATACCCTTAGATAGTTTTATCTGTTTATATATATATATATATATATATATATATATATATATATATATATATATATATATATATATATATATATGACAGAGCCATCTATTCTAATCAGTGAGTTCTAGATTAGTAAGTCTCATTTGATTTAATAGAACATTATATGTTTTTGTGTAACATTTTTTCCTCAAACCTTGTATGTATTTCATAGCACCTTCTAATAAATATCGCAAAATGACTGACTGAAGTCCATAATAACCTTTGTCACCACCCACGATCAGCAGAATGATACAAAAAATCCAGAGTTTACTGTTAGCGGACTGCAGGAAACAGTGGCATCTTAGGGTCACCAAGTCTCCATAACAACCATTAGATGCTATCTATCTAGCCAAGCGGTTGTTTGGGTGTTGTGCCAGAAAAGCCTTTTCTCTGGGGACTCTAAGTGGAACTGCGTACTTTACTAAAACAAGAATAAGGTGGAGCTTTCTGGCAACACACATTCCAGGTGGGTTTGGTTTAAACAAAGAGTGTAACAGTATAGTGGAAAGGTGAAACCATTTTTAGGATTTTAGGGTTATGTTACAGTAACTCAATCGGATTTAAAACCAGATAATACATTCATATTCATCTTTTTAAGCTATTCAGAGATGGATTTACAGGTTGCATTAATCATTGTCATCCTGTTTTACGAAAGACTGAGTTGGCTTAAGCCTTAAGGTCATGAAATGATGGCTGAACATTGTCCTTTAGGTAGAGAGCAGAATTTATGATTCCATCAATTACAGCTCGCCATTTACGTCTTGATAAAGTAAAACAGCACCAGACTATAAAACTACCACTGACATACTATAAAATAATCCTCTCGTTCTAAGATACTGTGTTAATTTTAAAAGAGGTGGAACGGGACATACAACTTCCAATATATTACAATTTGCCTAGTCAGTCCACATAGTTTATAAAAAGTCTTGTCAAGTTTGCTTTGGGAAATGTGAGATGGGTCTTTGTGTTGGTTTTGGACAGTGGTGTTTTCTGCTATGACAGCTATTTTTGCCCATTCTTACTGTTAACTCTTGACTTTAAATGTTAGTCAGTGTCTTTTGTCGAGAAATAGGTAAGAATGATGCTCTCTTGGAAAATTTTAATAGGCCAGCCACTCCGTGAAGGGTTATCCCCCATTCCATGTTTTTATTACTTGTGAAAAAATATAGTGAATATTATAGAGGGGAAAAAAAAGACTTTGCAACCCTCTGTAGCCTTTTCTTTGGGTACAGAGACGTGATTTGTTGCTTTTGAAATCTTATAACCTTTTTCATGTTATTAGACAGGCTCTATATGAATTCTTTGGACTACAAGAACAATGTAATAATGCCTGGTTATAGCTAGTAAAACTGAACCAAAGAAATGTTGATTCAGAAGACCAGACAATTATTAAATTTAGGTATACATGCATTTGGTTTATTATTGCCTGATATTAAAATATATTCAACGGTTTAAAACACTGAAGTGTTACAACAAATACTATAAAATAAAACAAAACAAAAAATAAAATAGATAACTCATGTTCAGTGAGGCCTATACCTTTTCACAGTTCATGCTGTAAAAAAGGTACCTTACCATAATTTTAAGATTTCGTATATCTCTTTTAAAAAAAAAAGGAATGCTAGCTTTTCGAGACGGCTAAAGTTGTTTCCATAGCAACCGCAAACTAAGGCGCACTGTGCTGAAATAAACCTGCGCAAACACTGAAATAAGCCTGCAGTGAAGAAGTTTTCTGGTAAAAATGGAGCCCGATGAACCTGGAACTTCGGCGGTTGCCACCGAAATAATGCCACTTGCCTTCCCCAAAGGAAAGGAAAAGTATTGTGAACTTTGTCAAAGGGAAGCGTACTTACAGTGCGCTAAGTGTCAGGTTACTTTCTACTGGTAAGCTCACTTTGTTGGATGTCTTGTCTTAACATTATACGTGTTCTAACACTGCATATATAGCCCGTGGTTTATGGGAGCAGTTTATAAATGCTGCAGTATGTTTCATTAATTTGGCAGTGGAGGGGGGGGGGAGATACACCATGTTAACGCTAGGTGGCAGTGTACGCTATGCATTGCTACAGAAAAATATCACGTGTGTTGATGTGGCTGCTGCTATGAAGGAGAGAAACAGCTGGAAGCTACATTAGTGCAATAATATTTTCGTTCACCCTCATTTTAATGCCAGAAAACAGTGTGCTTTGAGAAGTTGTTGTTTTTTTATATCTCTGTAAACCCTCATTTCGACTTTCTGCTCAGTTACAGAGCACAAGATGGTATTGGCTAAAACCCTCAGTGGCAAAACAGTGAACGGGTAGCATGTGGTGGCCCTCCCTGTGGGGATTTATGGGAAGGGATGAGCCACTAAAGCCAGTCTCATGGAGCTTACAGTCACTTACTGTGCATACTTTCCGTTAAGCCTTTATACTGAAAAAGCAAGAGAGAGAATAAAGAAACATTTTTGGTTAAATTCAAATGACCATAACAAGGAATTCAAAACAGAAAAGTACTGATAGGACTGGTGCTAATGCATTAGATTACAATATAAAGATGTTTGTCAGACTATTAACATTTTCCTGTTTTCCTGTTTAATGGTCAATATTAATTTGTAAAACTATTCATTCCCCTTGTATATTACCACATTTCCGTCTGTATGTATTTTTATTTGTCTCTTTAAGAGAAAGTAATGCATGATTGCTAACTGAAGGAGAATGAGATGTGGTCGTCAGAAAAATCTGAAAAAGGAGGTAAAGAAAAACCAGTTACCTTCTGAAGTAACTGAATTTGTGAACAAGAATTCATCTGTGTGTAAATGCAGCTGTTCTGGGAAGGCCTTAGAGATTTGGTTGAGAACATCAGTGAACAAGCTGCATCATGAAGACAAAGGAACACAGCAGACATTTCATAGATAAAGTTGTGGAGAACTATGCAGACTGTAAGAACTGCATACCTACCAAGACATGGCCATCTACCTAAATTACAAAGTAAGGAGAATATTGTGAATGAATTAGCCTCACAATTCATTCACGTGTGGATTCAGCCTTAACATGCAGTCCCAAAGGTCAAATATCATGGAGGCAGCTTATGTTGCAGGATACTATTCTCGACAAGGAAGCTGATAGAATGATGATGGAGCTAAATTCAGCCCAATCCTAATTAACCCCAGGCTAAAACATTATTGGTCACTAAGGGTTTTGACCAAAGAACCCCACCAATGAACTGTTTGCCCAATCACTAATGAGTCACAGAAGCAGGATTTTGAACTTTAAATAAGCATTTTAATATTTCTTCTTTTTTTTTTAAGCAAAACATTTTTAAAGGTTAACGACATTATTTTAATGTTTTGCTTTGGTTTTATTGCGTTGTGTTCAAAAGGTGATATAAATAAACCTGCCATATCTTTAGCAAGACAAAAACTTGAGCTACTGTGAAATGGCTTATATTAAACTGGCTAAGTCAAAGTCCTTATCTAAATCCCATTGAGAAAATGCTATTCAAAGCTTCCTGTTTGCAGATATTCTGTCCAATCAAGCTAAACTTTTCCTGTGACTTCACAATAATACACCACTTTGTGTTGGTGTCTAATGTATAAATCAAATCCATTGACGATGGCGGTCGTGTGATAACGAAAGTGAACATTTTCAAAGGGTCCACGTCGTTTTGCAAATCACTTTAGTTGCATACCTAACTTTAGTGCCATAACACTGTATTTGATCGAAATGGCCAAACAGGACGTTACATTTTTCTCCCCTCCAGCTGTGCAGACTTTCAGACTTCTGTTTGTGTCGTCTTAGTGGTGATGTGGCATGGCCAGATTTCTGCCTGCTTAAAAAGACAAATGCAATATAGAGGGAGCAAACATTCTCTGCAGTAAGAAATATGCACGGAAAGTTCAGTCAGTTTCCACAAGAGTGTGCAGATGAAGGGAACCAGTGGAACCAAATTACAGGCCAGTTATTATAGCTTTCACTTTAATGTTCCCTCCACAAACTCAGATGGCATCTTAGAATGTTTCCAGAATTCAAAAGACTGCAGCTTTTAACAACATTTTATCTCCCTGGTATTTCACAATGTTGTACCGGCCTACAATGTAACTCGCAGTGAATCATGATTCATTAGCACAACAGGGGAGGATTTCTTGGAGGTTACAAAGTCAGTTCAACTTCTTGGAACTTAAGGTGTTGGGACAGAGAGAAAAATGTCCCTTGGATAACAAATATGCATTTAAATTTCCTCAGTAATGCAGATCACCAGCAGGCTGATTGGGTGGGAGTCCATGAAAGAATCTGTCAGATGCTTGTTTCCATACGTTCCATGAAAGATATCTACGATCCGGCCGTCCGCAAGAGAAACCAGTTAAGAAAGGTAAACCAACTGGGGAATGTATATGAAATGTCATAGTTTGTGGTATTAGTGAGGTGAGAGAGAATCAGGTAACTAGACACACCTGGAAAGCGATCAACAGGGAAGACAGGACTAGAACAGGACTAAACACAGAAAACCTCAAATATAACTACACAGAAAACACAGAACATAGCATGAAAACATATTCAAACTGAATTTCTGGCTTTGTTTTGGGTATTACAGCAAAGCAACAACAATCATTTCTCTCCTTTTGTTATGTCTATCAAAAGGAAATGACCCACCGTTCCAAATTTGTATAATCCAAACTACACCGCGTTATCTCAAAAAAAAAAAAAAAGAAAAAAGAAACAGCAGTGGTAGTATAAAAGATCATTTCCTTCGGCAAGTCTCACTGCTGCTGTCATGTTTAACGGTGTGGATACTGAGTATCTTCAGAACCAGCTGAGTCTAGTTCACTTCATTCCTGCAAAATGATACTTCAGAGAAATGGGATGTGGTGTGAGATAATAACATTGGTTTGTTTCTGTGAACTGCTATGCAATCAGTTCTTGAGAGTCTGAAGAGTTGCCATGGAGCGAAGGTAACTATGGGTTTGGCTTCTTGCTCAGACTCATCTGATCAAGATTTGCAAGTTGGTGGCTCAGAGCAAGC